TGTCCTATGTCTGCTATTGTCATGCCTCATGGTCAGGCCGTTACCCCTGCCTTCAGACAGTTGTGATGCCCCAAATACAAAACTGAAATATTAGTTCTTTCAAGATTGCATTGATTGACCTTACCTGAAGGTATACCATACACAAGAATGCCCTGTAAATTCCTTAAATGTGTTATGTCATACATTTTTATATGTTTGCCTAGATTGTCGTTAATTTTGTTATAGCAGTAAAATAAAGTTTGATAAGAAACTCAGTGTTTTACATATTTCAGTTGTCTCTAGGCTTCCTCTCCTCTTGAATACTCTCAATGGAAAATCTATTTTATCTATCAAAACTTCCAGGGATGCATAGTAGCAAAAAGCAGTTGCTTATTTATTATCACATTTCAGTCCTTAAGCTCAGAGACAGTGGAAGATGACCTGTATGAGGCTACTGTTCCACTGGCTGTGGGCTTGGACCAGATTCTTGGGAATTCTTATCTTTCCTTCCAGGCTGTCCTTTATTTGTACATTCTCCATGTCCAGTAATAATATCATTGGCTGTCTTGCTGAGCAGGCACAAGGACTTTTTATTCTTTCCCCATTTTTCTCTATACTTAATCTATTGTCAGATTATATCTCTTCTCCCTTTAGAATGCAGATATACCGCTCAAGAGCTGCATCCTTGCTTTGATAGCTATAGGCTTCTCAGTTCTGGCCTTTTGCTGCCTCATCCTGCCCAACTCTCCATTGAAAAGGTTATTTACATCTCTTGTTGCTTTGATCCTGCATTTTAAATTCCTGTTGTGCTCACCCTTGGATCCACCAGTAAATCCTTGTTGTTACCTTCAAAGCACTCTTCATCTCCACCTTTACTACTGTACCACTAAATATTCATGTCCATCTTTTTTGTTTCTCCTGCATTATCAATTTCAACTATTGAAAAACCATGGCAGCCATCTTCACAAAGCTAGATTTCTTCTTTCTTGTTGCTCTTATGCTTCCAGCTGCTTCCCAGTGTGTGATCACATTCCTCACTTAGATCCCCAAAATTCACCTTTTCATGAAGGGTTTTACTTAACCCCTTAATACCCAGCTGAAATTAGGTCTAACTGTGCATAAATGAAATAAATCATATTCTTCCCTTACTTTTGTCTTCACTTTCTGCATTGACTTGCCTTCTAATCAGCTTATCAGCTTATAAACAGCTTATCAGCTTCTCTAAGCAGATATCTGGCTTTATGTAGTCTGGACAACACCATAAATACTAATGGTGTTCTGTAAATACAGTAGGACTGCTGTATCTGTGAATAATTGTTTCCAAGACCTCCCTCTCCCTGCTGAATACCCCCCCTCGCTTGCAGATATGCCATCTATATAGCAGTCTATATAGCAGTCTCTTGTTTTCTCTAGTTGCCAGTTTTGATAATGCACCTTGGAAATGCATATTTCTGCAGGTTTTTATTTAATATTTTCAGGCAGCAGATAACTGAAACTGCAGATACTGATCCCGTGGATACGGTGGTCATTATAAAATATAAATGAGATATATTTTTTGCATTGCACTAGTCGAAGTTAAATCTTATAACCAAAATGTATGCATAACCGTGACTGTGGATAGAGATATTTTTTCTAAGAAGGTTGCTGGTATAGATATTCTAAACTAAATTAAGTTGTATTCCAATTGCCTTTTTATTGCTTGTATGAGGTAAGATAGCATCATGAGGAAATCAAAGTGTGGAGCTTGTTCTAATAAAGGCCGGAGCAGGATTGTGTAATTCTGTTCAGCCCAGAGCCCTAAGCTCCATCCATGAATAAGGAGGAACCAGGACAGCTTTGGATCATGTGCAGTTGTGCACATGTTGTTGGACTACAACTCTCAGGAGCCTGTCTTGCATAATGACTGGTGGGAAATGCTTTGCATTACAGCGCAACAACATCTGTGCCAGTCTTTGGGCTAGGAATAAGAAGGATATATAGCTTAGATGAAGGTAGTCAGCTTGTTAACGATGGCAAGGAGAATGGGGAGAAAATGCGCCAGGGATGATTGTGTGAAAAGAGAGAGCAGTAAAAATGCTATCCAGTTTGTAAAAATAATGTCAACTCAGAACCTGGAAAAATATCAACAGCACATCCACTTCAGATGAAATGTCAGTCAGCAGGTTAAGAAGAGACATTATGTTAATTTAAGATGTTTCAGTTCTGAAGTTCTTAAGATCATGAACTCTCTCTTTGTATTTGCGAAGGCTTTCACGGACGGGATCTAATGGTTGTTGTGGGTTTTTTGGGCACTTTGGCCATGTTCTGAAGGTTGTTCTTCCTAACGTTTCGTCAGTCTCTATGGCCGGCATCTTCAGAGGACAGCACAGAGTGCTGGCGAAACGTTAGGAAGAACAACCGTCAGAACACGGCCAAAGAATCCGAAAAACCCAGAACAGCTATCTCTCTTTCTTTGATGTTACAATTTTGTTTGTAAGTATTACTGAATTCTCAAATTGTGGGGAAAATTTTTTGATAGTACTAGAAACACTCTGAAAGCTGATTCAGGTATATCTCGGAGCATCACAACTCTCATTTTTTGTTTAGCATCCTTGGTCTTGAGAATGTATGGGTTGAACATAGAGTTTTTTCTTTGGCCCTGAAAATGTCCCATTTTCTTTTTTAAAAATAATCCTGGTGTATTGGACTATCATTAAAAAAATCTAGCTTTCTTTTACTTGACTAGAAAGTTAATATGTCATATGAAAAAATCCTGTGAAATAAAATTGTGATACACCTATATTGCAGGTAACGTGAGAGTTTGAGAGACAGTAGTTTGACCAGAGGCCGTTAAGTGAATTCAAGGTTGAGATGACATTATTAAACCACAGCTTTCCAGTTAATAAGTTTGGTTAATGTGCTACATGGGCTGTCGAAGAATAACATTGCAAAGCTTGACAGCTCTATATCATCATAGATATAGTAGGGCAATTTCTGCTGTAGCTGCAGAAATTTCTTTAGGCACAATCTCTACCTTTTACTGAGTAGTTTAAAGGGTATGGGTTCTCTAGTAAAGTACCTCTTGCAGCCTCTTGCTCTCACAAAAAACCTGAGAAAAATGTTCATTTCTCCTTGCAATTATATTTTCCTGAGGGAGGTTTTTATCTCCCTGCAACAAATTCTCATGTGAACTCTTGCAAGATTTCTTAGTTTTGCAAGTTTTGCTTTTAAAGAAATTACCAATTGCATCAGTTCCAGTGCAGAATGGTAATTTTCCTGCACATGGAAATAATGACAGATATTTTTACAATTTATCAGCACACTTGTGTCTTTCCTGCATAGGATTCAATGAAATGGCATAAATCTGCATGTGTCCACAGGTTAATAGGTGAAAAAATAAAAGGCAGTGAGACCAAGTCCGTAGTTGTGTGGAAAGCCTGGAAATCTCACTGGTACAGAGTGTACACTAATCAGGGAATCTGGGCATAGCAAGACTCAGAATTCATGAAGAACCATTCAACACAATCTTGGCACACCCTTAGTCTTTAGGGCATGTGTTCAGACACTAGGACTCCCAGGGGCTAGATAAATGTCCTGGATGCACTTAATGGTCACTCCAGATGTATATTAGATGTTCCTATGGCCAGCCATTGGAGCCTACCCGAACAAGCAAAATGCTTGCGACCATTGCCACATCAGGCATAGTATACAACATGGTGTACCAGGGCATGGTTCAGGAATAGGGTATGTAGTTTTGTTGCTGGCATGATTGTGCTGGGCCCTTTTACTTGAAGGGGCTGAGAAAGAGCCAACTGAAATGATGTCACATCCTTTATTTTGTACTCCATCTCCATTCTCAGAAGCACAGGAGCAATTTGGTGAGAATCCTGGGAATATAAGAAATATTTGCTAAATTGTTCATGCTTATTACTTTAGGCTGTCTTTATTTAATAGGATATATGGAAGATGAATTTTAAAACCCCAGGGAATTCTTTTCCTCCAGGTTGAGGGCAAGGAAAGCAGCACTATTTTTCTAATTCATGCAATCTGTCTTTGTAAAAACAAATATTCATTCCCTTTGTGAAACAATATACACAACCAGCAAGCATACAATGACTTGCTGACATTTTCAAAAGATGCAAATGCCTTCTCTGATGCCTCTGATCCTTAAAAGCACATGCAGTAAAGTAGCAGACATCATCATTCTGTGCAGTATGCTTTATCTTCGTTAAAGTTGCTATCCGCAGAATTTGGCTTGTTTTGCACAAAAAATAGCTCTTGTCTTGTTTCGAGAAGACATAGAAGGTGACCTCAGTAGTTCAGAAAGGTCATAAACAAAGGAAGGATTTATGTCCTTAGAAAATTGGTTCTAGGATATACAGTGGTGCCTCACATAGCGACGTTAATCCGTGTAGCAAAAATCGCTGCTAAGCGATTTCGTCGCTATGCGATTTTAAAAAGCCCATAGAAACGCATTAAAACCTGTTTAATGCATTCCTGTGGGCAAAAAACTGACCTTAAAGCGAAGATCCTCCATATGGCGGCCATTTTCGCTGCCTCTTAAGCGAGGAATCCGTGCGAAAACACAGCGGGCGGCCATTTTTTTAACCCAGCAGCCATTTTGGAACCACCGATCAGCTGTTAAAAATCATTGTTGTGATAATCGGTAAGCAAAACAGGGAACCGATCATCGCAAAGCGAAAAATCCCATTTAAAACATCGTAATGCGATCGCTTTTGCGATCGCAAAATCTTCGTCGCTATGCAGTTTCGTCGCTAAACGGAGCGCCCGTTAAGCAAGGCACCACTGTACATGGAACACTAGTTTACACTTCTTTTATGTATTCATTCTCATAGATTTGTGAACTTGTATCGAAGTTGTACTCAGAAGTTTTATCAACTATTCAAGGTCTATAAACAATGAACATTTGTCGATGTATCTTAAAATACTACTACGTGGGTGTCTTCATAGTTGTCAATGGATTATTTTCTGTTGAATGAATTTGTGTCTGTAGCCATGACAGAAGCTTTCTGTTTTCTTAGGATCTCCAAACATGGGTGAATGGTGCTAATGAAAATGGCTTCGTCCTTGTTTCTTTTGGAGCAGGAGTTAAATACTTATCAGAAGATATAGCCAATAAATTAGCACATGCTCTGGCAAGACTTCCCCAGAGAGTTATTTGGAGGTAAGAATAATGGAGCAGTAGATATTTATAGTAAGTTTAAATTGGGACCAGAATGTTTTTTTTCTGTAGAGAAGGATTAATGATCAATAGGACAAGTTTGTTTTGCGCTGAAATATATGGTGGGCGGAGTCAATCCTGTTCTCTCCTTCCCTGCTTATTCTTCCAATTTCTCTTTCCCATCCCGTTTCTCTCCTTTTCATGTTGCTGCTGCATCTTTAAAATACACCGTGTCACAGACAAAAGGAAGCACTTCGACCAGTCAGTCTTTAGCAGAGACACACAGGCATTCTCTGAATTCGCACCTGTCAGATGGATTGTGTTGTCAGCTAGTGGGAGGGGTATGGTGAATTCTTGATGATGGCCTTGCTAGGCAGGTGGTGTTTCAGTTGCCAAACAGGTGTGTAGAAATAAAAAACGCCTCAGAAGCACTATTGCAAGACATGCAATTCCTTCCCTCACTCATTCTGTTTCAAAGCAACTCATTTGCCCTGTGACATAGATGGAACATGGACTGTTAAGTGACACATGAAATTTATCTATGTGTTAGATGCAAGGCAGAGGATTTTCCACTAACCCCCAATTTGAAGAAAATACTAGGATGTCAAAGTCTTGAGTAGGCTAAGCTGTCTTAGTTTTGGCTGGCGAAGGCACTGAGATAATACGTAGTAGCTTGTTTGTCAGTTGCCTTAGGAAGCAGAATTTTTGGTTCAGTTCACAACAGCGGGGGGAAAAAGGATGAGCCAAGAAGATATATTACTTTTCTTAAGATCTTGAAATGAGAAGACAAAAAAGAGTAAAATTTCAGCCACAAATATTGTAATTAGTCCCTTTGGATCTCAGCATTCTTGGGTATTCAGTGGTGCCTCGCTTAATGATTGCCGCGCTCTACGATGAAATCACTGTACGATTAGGTTTTTGCGATCGCTTTTGCGATCACAAACAATGTTTTAAATGTGTTTTTTTTTTCCGTTTAACGATGATTGGTTCCCTGCTTTGGGAACCGATTTTCGCTTTACGATGATCAAAAACAGCTGATCGTCGGGTTTCAAAATGGCCACTGGCTGCCTAAAAATGGCTCCCCGCTGTGTTTTTGGATGGATTCCTCACTTTACAGGCAGCGAAAATGGCCGCCCCTATGGAGGATCTTCGCTGGATGGTGAGTTTTCAGCCCATTGGAACGCATTGACGGGTTTTCAGTGCATTTCAGTGGGCTTTTTACTTTCGCTTGATGACGTTTTCGCTCTACAGTGATTTCGCTGGAACGAATTAACGTCGTTAAGCGAGGCAGCACTGTATCTCTGTAGGACTCTATCAATTTCTTGAATGAAAATATTATCACATGTACTTCATGTGTTCTGATTTTGTGAAATTTACTTGCTACTTTTAAATTCATCAGTATTATATCTCACTGATGGGCCTGGTTTTCAGATCTTGTCGTAACTTTAGAATATATATTTATACTTATAATGATTTTTCTTTTGTTTTAGGTTGTTGATAATTTTATTGCAGATTTTATTAGGCAGTAGAAAACATATTTATAGTATTGGTAATATTAGTAAATTGATCTATAAATAAATCTGTCTAATGCCATGTATTTTGAAACTTTTAAAAATATGTTTGTTTCAGGTTTTCAGGGAACAAACCTAAGAATTTAGGTAACAATACAAAACTCATAGAATGGTTACCACAAAATGACTTGTTAGGTGAGTAATATTCAAGGAGGTGTTTTAGTTGTATATATATCCATAAATGTACAAATCTCTGTGTATTTAAATATGCTTTTGGTTGCTAGAGCGGGCACTAGCTTCAGTCTAACACTAATATTTTCTGATTTTTCTGGCATGGAAGAGAATAAATGCATATACATTACAGTAGAAATATTGCATCAGTTGAATTACTGCTTTCCTTGAAACTGCTTTCTGTTCTTGCACAGAATTCTGGTCTGTATTTTTGTGCATGCAAAAACAATTGTAGAAGCTATAGCTGCCAGTGAATGGGGTGCTAGTCTCATGTTATTCATGGCTCGCAGCTTGCCAATTAATTGCAATTAGCCTTGCCAGCTTTACTGTTCTTACTTGAATAAAAAGCTAACAGGATTTTGCTCATTGATTTGCACGAAACCCACTTATGCTCAATACCTACAGTCAGAGCTATAGTGTTTATACTACTAAGTACCTATGTGGAATTATCCCAGCAAGTCAATACAGATTATTCAAATAGCTGATTTTGATACAAAAAAACATAAAAATAAAAAAAATCTTTTTTGATGCACTGAAGCAAAATTCTAGCCTTTATTGGTGAAGTGTTACTTAATTCATTATTTGTTATCCATGATTTTTAAACTAAGAAGCTGTTATACTTAAGATGTGTCTGGAGTGTGTTGTGTTATTAAAAGTATTCCCCATTTTTTTTTGTAAATCCCTACCACTGAAGGGCCTTACATTCCAGATACTGTTTTCTGTGTACTACCATAGCAGTACAAACTTGGTCAGAGCTATAGTGTTTATACTACTAAGTACCTAAAATATAATACTGCCACCTTGGAAGGAATGTGGAATTATCCCAGCAAGTCAATACAGATTATTCAAATAGCTGATTTTGATATACCACTGATATTGCTTATATTTATTTATTTATTTATTCAATTTATTTATTTCAATTTATATGCCGCCCACACTACCCAGAGGTCTCTGGGCGGATACATTTAAGGGAGATTCCCTTTAATGACATAGTATATGTTGATCTGCTCTCTGCTCTGCCATCATTAAGGAAATAAAGTTGATGATTGACTTGTTCTTCCCCACAGTGAGAAGCAGAGTAGCAGATCTTTGATCTTAAGTGCAGACTGAATGCCAGTATGGCAAGCAATTTCTTGTATCCTAACTGTGGCAACAGCAATGAAAACTCTTTTGTATGATTTGTAAACAGGGAAGAACAAAGAGACGTTGTCCGAGGGAGATAGAAAAGTTCTTGTTACCCCAATGCTGAGTTTATTATGTACATTTCTATTTAAGTTATATGGAATTCTGTTGTATTTTATGTGGAATATGAACACTTTTCTTCCTTGTACTTCTCCTTTTTCTGTTTTAGGGCATTCTAATATTAAGGCCTTCCTTAGTCATGGTGGTCTGAACAGCATTTTTGAAACCATGTACCATGGTGTGCCTGTTGTGGGAATTCCTCTTTTTGGTGACCATTATGACACAATGACCCGAGTGCAGGCCAAAAGAATGGGGATATTATTAAACTGGAAGACGATTACTGAAGATGAACTATATAATGCACTGGTGAAAGTTATAAATGATCCCAGGTAAGGTAATTTTTAGTTTACTTTTTCTGAAATAAAAACAGACATTTGAAAAAAAAAACGAGGCCAAATGTCTGATAGCATAATCTGCATTAATTTATGTTTCAAGAAGATAAATTAACTGAGTAAATGGAACAATATCATATGCCTCCTCCTTGTTTCCATTCTGCAGCTACAGAAAACAGGCCCAGAAGCTGTCTGAAATTCATAAGGACCAACCAGATCATCCTGTTAATCGAACAGTCTACTGGATTAATTACATCCTTCGTCACAATGGAGCACAGCATCTACGTGCTGCTGTTTACACAGTGTCTTTTTATCAGTATTTCTTATTGGATATTGCCATTGTTGTACTGCTTGGTACTTCCTTGCTCTGCTACATTTTGGCTAGGATAGCAAAATTTATCTGCAAGCAAAGCAAACATCTTTGGTCCACTGATGAACATATTACCATTAATGGACATTACCAAAATGGAATACCAAATGGCAAGTATAGAAGAAATGGCCACATTAAACATGAAAAAAAAGTGAAATGAGCCAACTACCCAGTGTACATTAGCAACAAATCAGTTCTATAATTGAATTTTATAGCTGTAACTTAGTCTAACACCTACTTAAAGTAAAACAATAAACAGTTCTAATGCTCCCCTACAGTATGTAATCTTATGCAATTAAATTTTGCAGAACTAAGGAAAATCTTTAGAAAAATGAAGCACAACCTAAGATGCAAAATGTATTTTATTCTTAATACTGATGCAGAAAGGTTATTCTGGCACTGAAGTTTTTTGAGAAGCCTTAATTCTCTGAAGTAATTCAATAAGTATATTTATGACTTTTCCATTTGTGACTTTAAATCTGTGTGTCCCAGATAAGGAAAGGTTTCCCTTTACCTGAAAAGGCTCTTCCTTTCTTCACTCATTGATATTTTAGCAAAGAGATCGTTGTTTTATTTGTCTAAGATTCAATGTTATTTGACAATGATGTTAATTGAAGTCACTTTTTCCAGGTGTTTCATACATAGCAGTAAAAAACTGCAGAATTATAATGCAGCCATAAACATCATATTCTTAAAAGGCATTGAAGAATATGATGACAATATACTATACTTTTGATATTCTACTTAACTTTTCCTTTCTCTCCTGTTTCTTTAGAGAAAAGGAAATTGCACAAGAGTACCGTAAGCTGTAATTTTATATTTATGTATATTTTAGTTTCATTCTTTATCTTTGCCCAGAACCGTAATTTATGCCATGTAAGGATGTTTTATTCCAATAATTAAAAGGGCTCTGTAGATAAAATAAATAGATAAGCAAAATAAGTGAAGCCATGTGAGATGGGGGGGGGGGAATCTGCCCAGGCTCTTTAGTAAGGGGTTTTTCTTATCCCTTGAGTAAAACGGAATCAAACTACTCCTGTGGGGTTTGTTATAAAGTTGAATGTCTTTGCTGTTACAATTAATACTTCCCCGCAGCCCAACTAAAATGGTTCAGAGGTTCACTTAAGTTACGTCTCTGTTCCTTATATGAGTCTGGGCCACACAATCCATGTTATATAGTTGCCAACATAAAATTCTTCGAATAAAATGGAGTCTATCCTTTTGGTCAGTTACTGCTATCTTCGTCCAGGTTTGATATCATGCATGACATTAAACCTACAAAACTAGTTGAAAAGTTTTCCTTTGTCTACACTCTCGGCATCCTTTTATGCACAACACTCTTTCAATCACTGCAACCAATCCAGGACTTTTCTGGTTTTAAACAGAGCATTGGGAATACAGGACATTAAATAAAGATCAGGACTGTCCTGTTAAACCATTGTTGGCAACTATGAGTTTATTGATTTCCATGTCATTCTGTTTACTTGGAATTTGCACTGCACATGTTGTGAGTGTAGAATTTATTTATTTGTGGTTTGAAATCCCGTATCTGGCAACAGAAGGGGGAAAAAGTCTATATATTGTTAACTAACATGAGAAAAGTTCTGGAAAAAAAACCCACAGAATACTAAAATCACCTTCATACACAGTGACATGATATTTCATTATAATCCCATCAGGAGCCTCTATCTTGTAGCAATAAAGTAGCATTGCAGATATGTTTCCAATATTTGGTACAGGCAATTGTACTGCTTTCCAGATACTTGAAAAAACTGTATTATCAATATGCCTGTTAGCTTTTTACAATCCTATCAATATGCGGCAACTAAAGGAATGCAAAGAGGCAATGAGTGGTGGGAGAGTGACAGAACCTAGAGTGTATGAATGAGTTGGTTTTAATGTTTCTCGTATTGAAGAAGCTACACAAGCACTGACCGGATGATTAAGAATAATTTAATCTCCACTGTGATACAACTTAAGCAATAAACATGGATTTAATATAGAAACAAGTTGTTGGAAGCACATCTTTATTCAAACATACTTGTCTGTTTATGCATCTCCATACAACTATACCCTATGTATGTGTGAATAATGCCTATCTTTTAAACTTGTGTGTGTGTGTGTGTGTGTTGTGTATATTAGCGGTCCCAAAGCTTTTTGGGACCGCAGACCGGCTGAGCCTCTGAGGAAGGCAGGGCACCCTCGTGCTTTTGCACACACGCTCTTGGGCACATGCACGAAGGAATGGGGGAGTGCTCGCATGCCAGCGCTGGCGTCAGTGATCCCCCTCCCCTTTGTGCATGTGCAGGAGCACCTGCACGCCCTCGTGCATGCCCGCCCATCCACCCCTTCACACGGGTGCTTGGGCGCATGCGTGAAGGGGTGGGGGAGTGCTCATGCCGGCGCTGGCACGTGTGCAACGCATTTGTGGGGAGGGGAGTGCATGCAGAGGGGGCGGGAGGTCAGTCTCCATGGCCCGGACCAGCACCATGCTGTGGACCGGGGATTGACAACCTCTGCTGTATATATATGCCCAGGCACATGCTGTATAACACAGATGTAATTAATAAAAACAATTTTGTTTTCTCTTAGAATAACAGTGGTTTTGTAGGAGAATTTTCATGCACAGTTGCCCGGCATTATTCATTGATTTTTATTCCTAATCACTTCTTCCAAAGGGTGGAAAAGCTGTATAGTGCATTAAAAATATTTATTGGTGGCATTAGGAGCCCTAGTAGCAAAATTTATGCTGTTACTCCTTTATCAGCTATAACTGGTCATTATACAGTTATAACAACAGTTTAAGTAGTATGAGTATCAGAAGTGTTTAGATTTCAGTGTAACTAGCTTCAACAGAGTCTTGAAGTACTTGGACAAATTCCAAATGTAGTCATATAAATCATTGAAATCAGTTCAACTTAATCATTAACAGAAGCCTTATTTATTTTGGTGTGTCTGCTCTAAGCAAGATTATTTCCAGAATCTACCTTCTCTCATTTATTTTCTAAGGGTGAATGATTACCAGCATACCAGATGACTTTAGTTTTTCATGTGGTAGCACACACATTAGGAGTAAATTCTGTCGCAATTAATGTAAACTAAGACTGATTCATGCAACTATTAGGAGAAGCCAGTTTTACAACATATTAAATAATTGTGTCTGAGAGAAAAACTAGACTTTTGAATTAGCTATTATGAATGTTGAAAAATGAACACTGTGAGAAAATGGATACAGCTTGTTACCTGCATGGTGGCAACTTATGTTTTTGTCAACCAGTTGTCATCACCAGTTTTCAGAAATATTTGCAAATGCCTTGTAGTTACACCTCACCCATTTTTTATGATTTTCCATTTTTTTGCTATTGCTGCATAACCTGTTGGAACCGTTTCATACGCAGCTGGGCTCAGATCTGCAACTCCCTTCAGCGTTATTTCTGTGATTAAAGAGATGGCACAGGGCTTGATTGTGGATGTAAGGAGATTTCTTTATCAGGAGTTAAAGACAGGAAAAAATGATGTTGTATATACTGCAGTTTTAAGTCCTGATCAGGTCCTTCAGCAGACTGGAATGTTAAAATGGCTTGGCTTGGCTTTAACATTTAACATTGCATGCAGATTGGCCCATCATGGCCTCCTGTGTTTTGAAATATCTGGAGATTTGGCCAGCCAATACTTTGATTTCTTGGTACAGTACTATGACTGTATTTGTATATTTTTTGCTCTCAAGGTTAACTTTTTATTTGAAGGAGAACATCTTTACTGTTGACATTATTATAATAAGGGAGCTTCATTCTCAGTTTTCATGTGATAAATGGTTGCTTTTAACCAGCTACAATTGTTGTTGCACGCTGTCAAGCTGTCTCTGACTCATGGTGACATAATGAGGCATCTCCAAAATATCCTGTTTCAGCAGCCCTACTCAGCCTTTGTAAAATCAACTCTTCCTTTATGGAGTCAAGCCATCTCATATTTGGTCTTCCATCTACAACTAGACAGACAGATAGATAGCTATGTGCCAAAAGTTAAGTACAGATAGATTTTTAGGACATAATTACAAGCTTTTTTAAACAGTCATATTGCTGTATAACATTGATGGAGACGGTCACAATTCCCCTCAGTGTTAAAACTGGTGGAACTTAAATATTCAGTGCATTGTTTCTACATTTTCGTTAAAGTGTAATTAGTCTTGAATAAGCATTACTATGATCAGGACTTAGAGAAGGGATCAACCCTTTCAGGTTCATAAAACAATAGTGTACATCTACAATGTCCGCTAGAGTTCAATCAGATTGGTTGAGAATATTTAGCAAGAATATACCAGATTCTGACTTGGATCTGTGACCTTTTTATACTGATTGTGGTGATTGATAGTGCTCTTCCGAGGTTAAGAAGTGCTCTTTCCTAGATTTGCTGAGAGACATGCTTAGCTTGCTATAATGGGAAGAGCTAATATGCCAAATATGCCATTTGACAGAGACATGTATTTCTTCATAGGTATAAAATTCTTATAGAGTCACCATCCATGCGGAAGAGAGTTTAGCGTTATTCAGGCATTACAGAAAATGTGTATGATAAACCCAAGGTGGGGAAGCATCCTCCCGTAGTTTCTGCATATGTTCCTTCTCTGCCCTTATGTGTGTGCAGGGGTGATAATCTAGAGGGCAAAGCCTGTGTGTTTGAGGCATTCCATATGAACAGAATGCTATTGTCCTAATGCACTGGATCATATGGAGAATATGTATAGAAGAGGTTTTCACCACTTGAGATGCAGAATTCCTCTTTTCCATCTCACCTGTCGTGATTTTATATCCACTCTTTATGATGGCTGAATAGAGCTCATACAGTATGATCCTGTCATATACATATCTAGTACACATGAATCTTCAGCTTCCTCAGGCTTAGGGAATCCTTGATTTTTTTTAAAAAAAGAGGCCCTGCTGGCTTCAATATGTTTGTTTGCTTAAAGTAATGGTCTTTGTTAAGTTTTGTACTCCCTTCAGAAAAGTAGGTTACATGGAATCGTAGGAGTTCTTTTTTTCTGACAGTGCATTTAGGATTAAAGATATATTGAAATTCATGTTTTAGCTACTCCTCCAGCAATTATGCTTGGAAAAACCCTCATTCTTTTCTCGTTGAAACATCTCTGGTGGAACAACTAGCTAGGTTTCCACTAAAAATCTCAAATTCTGGGCAGGCTCATATGAGGGAAAACAGTTTTTTTGATATATTGATGCTAACCTATAAATCTAAACATTGCAATGAGCTCAGAAACAAAGTTGAGATGTGTGTAGCTTTTCCAGTGACTTGAAGGCAAAGTGCATATTTCCTCTCCTTTCCACCTTATCTTTAGAGTAATAATAATAATAATAATAATAATAATAATAATAATAATAATAATAATAATAATAAAAAACAAGCATGTAAAAACAATTTATCCTGATGTAAACAGGAGAAAACTATCACATAACTGGGCCAATAAAACAACTCAAGTACAGCAACAGATACACTCAGATTTTGCATTGAACAATAGATTCTTTGGTTCATAATGGAGTACTGAGATGAATCTCTCATGGCAGGGAGTGACTTCTTTCTCATAATTGTGTGATTAATACGTTGTACATTTTAGTTATATTTAAGTAAATGTCATGTTCCAGGGAAAATTAAGCAATTTTCAGTGAAAAAAAGGACTTTCGGAATGGATTTGAAATAGCCTAATTTTGGCTGAAGGTTGAACTGTTTGTTTGGGGTGTTTTTGAGATCTCTAGTGAATTGTTTATTCAGAAACACAATAGGTAGAATGACGAGGTCATTTCTTAAATCAACAGAGGTGTGTGGATTACTGTAGTGTTTAAGGTCCTGCAGTTTCACTCGCTCTACTGCGTCATCTATATCCTTCCAAAATTCACTGTGTGTAATTGAAACTCTAATCAAAAGGAACAGAAATTAAAGCAATGGTCGGGAAATCCTTTTGAGCCTGAGGCCTGGATCAAAGAGGTTGTGGCTGGGGAGTTTCTTCCCACTTGTGGGAAGGGCTAAAGACAAAAGAGTAAAATGACAAACACCACCATGATTTAGGTGAAAAGTCTTAGGGCCAGTAATTAAGCCATAGAAAGGGCACTTCAGCCTCACTAGTATATAAAAGCTGGGCACCCACAATGAAGGCATTGTGGACATGTGTGAAACCCCAGAGACCTAGAGGGCTGGAATCAGCCTTCAGGCTTGAGTTTC